CAAGTGAACTCTACTTCACTTACCCCATAGACCGTCAGGTTTGAAAGGGAAACTTTACTTTACAACAAAAAATATAGTGTCAAATCATCATAATCTGTTCTCGTTCTTGACCCAGAGACACGTTGAGTATGACGTAGAGTTCATCTGTTCCTATGACCTCGGCATACAAAAGCATTGAAAAATTGATTAAGGTGATAAATCAGACTACCAGTCCCTCCCCTCCGCGCTGAAGTTCCCGTTAGTGTTTGTTCCTGCGTGAACGTGGGGGTAAGAGAGCCAGCCAGCGTCAGTCAGCAGGTAAACAAACGCCCCCGCTGCTGCAGACGCAGGTATGTATCCGTCGTGTAGGTGTAGGTGCTCCAAGCCTCGTCCACCTGATGCCTCTGTGTCCAGTGACCAACCGTCACCTGTTTAGGACAACCATGAGGGTGGGAAACAATGACCGACAGGTTTTTCTTGTCTTGTCTGTTCTTGTATTTTTGATTGGACTGCTCGTGAAGCTTTTCAAATTTTTTCACCATGGCGTCGAATCTCCGCAGCAGATCCTCATCGCACGTGTCGTGGATCATCTCGCATTTGTCTTTCAGGAAGTCGGCGTCTTTGACCTTCCATCCTTGCACAGCGATCCGTTTGGATTTATCCGTGTCGTACCCCAACACGCAAGTCGTGTGTGTCGCTTCCGAGTCATCGAAGACCACGTGGGTCGCGGTCAAAAACCCAAATCGACCCCCATTTTTGACTCGGGGTGGCGGAATCGAGGCATTTCTCACATCGGCAATCTCGGAGTTCATCGGCACCCAGGGACACGCGGCCCGTGCCAACCCTCAACACGCTCTGTCCTCGGTTGCTGTAGAAAGGATACTCGCCCTCAAAGATGGCGCTGGCCGCGGGTCGTCTGTAACTGGTGAACTTGACCTTGATCATGACGGTTAGGTCGGCGAGGGTTTTGATGACGTCAGCCATGTCTTCGTACCCTTGTAGGTGGGCGGGGGTGAATTTATCGATGGGGATAAAGTTTTTGTGTTCTGGATTTTTGGTGCCGTAGAGAAAATGTTTGTGTAGGTCTACTTCTCCACCTTCGCATACCGCAGCTTCATGCTGCCCTGAAATCATTGTTTAACAAAACTTTAGTCAAAGTAGAATAAAAATAATTCAATTAGACCGAGTGTTGAAATGTAATTTAGTGCATCTGTTTTTCTATAGGCAACGTTTTTTTTATTAATTAAATAAATAATTTTAAAACAAAAAAAGAAATGTTGCAGCTGAAAACCCTTCGACATTCAATTTGACCGTTTTAAATAAGTTTCTACCATTTTCATACATTTTAAAACAAGTAGTCTGGGTTTTTTTTTTAATTTTTTTTCATCATCAGGGGGAAGGTGAGATGGGCCCAAAGAGATGTCAGAAATAAATTCCTCTCATTTTCTCCTTTAGAAAGCTATGTAACTGCGTGTTACCTTTTACTGGTTCTGTATTCACCGTTGAATTCATTCTGAATTTTCTTTAATTTAAAACCTGTTTTAAATATATAGGCCTATATATATATATATATATATATAATATATATATATATATATA